ATCCATGTATTTCTTCATGGTCAGATTCCTTGGCTTCTTTGCCTTGGGCCCAGAGAGACCCAGCTCAGCACCCCCATAGCTTTCCCTGATTCCCGTGGCCCACAGTGACCCACCATACCCTGTACGTGAATGCTAGGGAGGGTCCCAGCTCCTTCCTACTTCAAACAGTGCTGTGAACAAGTCTTGGAAAGAAATCTTGAAAAGTTGTGCAGCTCTCTATGTGGGATAAATCTCTATTCTTAACCCTGTGAGGTACAGGGACGCACGTGTAGCGCTCAGATGGGAGCACGGGACAGGGCTCTGTTCTGCCTGCCACAGTCTCCCCAGTGCTGGTCAGCACCAGCCTTAAAACTTGGCAGTCGGATGGGGACACAGGACATCTCAGGGATGTGCCTGTGTGACTCAGCACTGGAAGACTGACATTTTGCACACTTCTTAGCCATATGTGGTGATTCCCTTTGGAATTACAAGAGTTTGTCTTTTCTCTCACAAAACAAACTCATAAGATCTCTTTGTACCTCTGCTCCAGGGACCCGCTGTCTGGCTGTGGGTTCTAAGGAACGCTTTTTTGGTGCAGTTTGTCTTGCTTGTTCCCACGTTGTTCTTGTTTCTGTTTTACCCGCAGGAAGAGGCAGTCTTTTTTCTGTTTTCTAACGCTGAAATCATGGAAATGTTGTTGCAACACTTAAGGATAAATAGACACACAATGGCCTTTACTGTTTCCCTGTAAACTTTGGTCATCCAGGATTGCCCCTTCTAACAAGAGCAATAACAGTCAGTCTTTTCCGGTAATGTTAGCTAAACAGAATCTGATGCACCGATGTGAAAAACCCAGAATAGTAAACCACAGAGACAGAAAAGTCAGTGATGTCCGGGGACGAGCAGGAGGACATAGGGAAGGGGGTACAAATAGGTACAAATCTGCATTGCAGAACGTTCTAAAACACGACAGAGATGGAGATTGTGCAAATTGAGAATGTGCTTAATGTCCTTGAATGTAGATGTTAAAACACACAAAATCTTAGCTCTTAATTAAAGTTCACTTAGGACATAATATTTAAAACAGTTATAGACGTGAGGGTGAATATGAACATGGTGGTGAAATGAGGGCAAAATGAAAAGGGGAAATGAGGGGAATGGGAGGTCTTTGGCGAGAGGTGACCCCAGGTGGAGCCAGCAGCAGCCTCAGCTCTAGAGCTCATGAAGGTGGGGTTCCTGGCACTGATCCTCACTTTGGTGTCAGAGCTGGTGGGGGCGCTGAAGGTGGAGCTGGCACAAGCTCTGCAGGTGGGACTTGGGTTGGTCAGGAGCAGGCTCTGCAATAGCAGGAGGAGAAATGATCACCAAAAGCCTATGTTCTTTTCGGGGCCAAAACCCAGCACAGTGTCTACCTTCTCATCCCCAGGAAGTCTTCACAAACTGCAGCCACCGCTGACTGCTGAGAGTCTCAGGGTTCTGAGGCAGCCACTGCACTTGGAATCTTTGTCCGCTTAGTACCATCCCTCCCAACATGCCCACAGTCCCATGCCCAGACCTCATCCTGTTCTCTGCCTCAGTGGGCTCAGTGTGGTCCAGCTCAACCAGGTTAGGTTGGGCTAGGTGTCCCACCTCAATTTGCAACTCCTGCCAGGAACCAAGAAGGAAGGTTCTGGCCCTGGGGAAGACAAGTGTGGGCAGCAGAGGGGAGGCCTGGCCTTCCATCCCAAACTGCCCACCCACTTCCCCCTTGGAGCTGGACACCAGCTTCCTGCTCCAGCTGTAGAGAGCCCAGCCCCAACCTTTTCTTTGCCCCCAGTGGGGCAGTCCTGGCCCAGGCAGAAGACTACACGGGAGAGAGTCCATGGATAGTGCTGTGACCACTTCTCTCTTCTTCAGGGAAGCACGACACACATCTCCCTGCCTCCCCCAGGGGTGTGTTGCCTCTGTGAGGAGATGGGGTGATGTCTGCGGTGTCATTGCATATGTGGGAACAGGGTGGCACAGATGGGGGCTACGTCCTACCTGCCATTCCTCAGACTTTAGCTCATGTAGTAACAGGTCTCATTCTCTGTGTCTATGCTGAACTCTCCTTTCCCTAAGATGTGACCATATCTAGGCAAGCCAGGAGTGCAGTCATGTGAGCACTACCTGGTCTATTGTCCGGGGTGACTGTGTGGCCTGTGTAACAGGGAAGCCCAGGAGGGCAGCAGCTGTATCTGCTCTCAACATTGCATTGTGGTCATTGAAGACACCCACCGGTTCCCTCCTTGACGTCTGTGTGGACCTGGGGCCTCTGGCAGCTCCCAGGGATTCCTGCTCTGGATACCATGGAAGCCCATGGAATGACTCTCCATTGTCTTTACAGTGAAGAGAACAGCTTTACCCAAGTGAGGGGTTGGCAGTTGGGGGGGGGAGGCAAAGCTTCCCCAGGGGGCAGGAAACACCACAGTGCAGCCAGGGTCCCATCTCAGAGGAGACAGACCTGGGTTTAGACCCAGCTCCTCCTTCTGACTGCCCATGGAAACCTGGACAAGACACCATGCCTCCGGGAAGCCCCAGGGTGCCCCCTGCACTATGGAGGTCATCCTGGCATCTGCTTCCTAGGGACATCATCAGGCATGTGAGATGACATTTGCATAGCCTGTGGGCTAGTGTCGCGTGTACTTAGAGCACAGGATCAGAGGTGAAATCCTGGAGGGAGTGGGACAGGGTATGGAATACAGTGCCAACAGGCGTGACTCCTGCTGTGCGATGGGAATGGCACTCACCTCCTGGCCACATTTCCCTGGCAGCATCATGAGAGGGCAGAAGTTCATCAATTCAGCCATCCTTATGGTCCTTCAGCGTCTCAATTTACTCTATGTGTTGGTGCTGTGGACTCAAGTCAGGACCTCACACAGGCAATGCCGGCACTGTGGGATCGAGCTACATCCCCAAAGCTACTTGCATTGTATCTGGATTCACACCTGTGCATCCCACCAGACCCAGGACCTGGGACCCTGCTCAATAGCTTGCACCATCACCTTCTGATGGCCACGACCTGCGTAACCCAGCCCCTTGAGTGTGGGCCTCACTTGGTTGTTCTCATTTGTTTTAGCAGTGCTGAGTTTGAGCCCAGGACCTCAGGCATGGTAGGCAAGTGCTCTACCCTGAGCCCTCCCCCAAGCCCTGACTCATTCTTAACTAATAGAAGATGGCATATGTCATATAATGTCATGGCCAAGCCTCACACATAAATGGCTGTGACCAACCTGCTGTTCTCTCCCTCCTCTGTTCTCTCTTCCTTTCTCTCTATTTTGTTTTATCTTCCGCTCTAGATCTCCGGTTCTGGGAAAACTGCTGCTATCTCTGCAGCTTCCTTGCTGATGAGTCCTGAGAGAGAAAGGGCAACAGGCACAGGAGACATCAGGCCTCCGTCCTGACGGATCCTACATGCATGCACGAGACAGAGCCCGAGAATGGATTCTGTCACAGCAGGGCCTGCACTGAGCCTGCAGCCCGGCCTCCCTGGATATTATGGTCGAGGCCCCAGCAGAGCCTCCTGGATTCCCTGGTCACAGAAACTTGGAGAAAACCAGCGTTTACCTGTTGTACCCGATGAGACTGAAGTCACGTGTCATACAGGAGTGGCTCAGTGATGCACCATAACAGAGGTGAGATTCTGGCGCTGCCCTCGGCCCTCCCTCCACTCCTTTCTTCCCTGATTCTCTCCGGACACAATGTCCTCGCTTCTCACTCTTTCCTGCCTAGAAAGGATTTTCACTTTGAATCTCTACATCTTGGATCCTGGTCCCCTGCCACACACTCTCAGCTTTTATTTTATTTTATTTTAAATTTTTTTTTTATTTTTTGCAGTACCAGGAATTGAACTCACGACCTCACACTTGCCAGGCAGGTGCTGTGCCACTGAGCTATATTCCCAGCCACACTCTCAGCTTTGTGCAGGACGAGGGGCTACAGGTGCCGATGTCAGCTCAGTGAGGCCTTTTCAGGTGCCCCCACTGAGGACCCTCAGCCCTCGCTTGTGCCACCTGCTTTATTGGTTACAGCACTCGGTACTGTCTTCCACTCCATTCTCTAGTGCTTTGTCCCTCTGCTCCTCCAGGCTGCGAGCTCCTAGAGGGCAAGCAAGAGAGGGGGCTTCTCTGTGCAGGTCTGGGCCTAATTCAGCCCAGGAATAAGGTGAGAATTTGAGGCACAGTGATTGAATAAATCTGAGCATCTTCCTCTGAATGACCCTATGGATCCCACATATGACATCATTGTGTGTACATTTCTGTGTGTGTGTGTGTGTGTGTGTGTCTGTGCTTGTGTCTGTGTGGATCCTTTGGGATGCTGCTTGAAAGCAGCCCCACCTGGGAGGTTTAGACGGGGGTCCCTGGGACCATGGGGGTCACTTTTCTGGAGCCTTTGGGAGCTGGCTGAGTCCTGCACTGGGCGGTCTCTCTCCTCTGGACTTCTCCCTTCTCCTCTGCACTCTGCCATGTCCCAGGCCTTGTGCCTGGCCTTGCCCCTTGCTGGGCCGTGGTTCCCAAGTGTCTGCTGAGGGTGGAATAACACACATCGCCCTTTAATGTGGAAGTTCCTTCATACTGGGGAGTGGAGTGCAGGGGTCCCATGCTGTGCTCTGCATCTCTGCCCTGTCAGCATCCTCACCTGCCTCTGATTTGGGCGACGTGGATACCATCCCTCCTTCTAAAGCCACCATCGTCCAGTCACCTCACATCTCCAATGAACAAGAAATTGACGTGATCTCTTACGGTTGGTCCCTTCTAAGAAAAAGCAAGATTAAGCGGTGATTTCCAACATCCTCTGGCCAGAGAGAAACATGACTTCAGTGATGTGAAAAATGTAGAAGAGGTAAATGACAGGGACATCAGATGAATGGTGGCCAGGATCTGGCAGGAGGGGAGAGAGAAGAAAATACTTTCGGTACAGAATTGAGGAAAATGGTCTAGACTGCACAGTGGTGAAGGCTGCATGACACTGAGAAGGCAATAAAGGCCACCAAGCTGATCGTTTTAAACAGCACTAAACTCTTTAACTTTATTTACATTAATTCTACGGTGTCCACATCTCTGGGAATTAAGGAAAGCAATAAGTACAATAACAAGTAAATCTGGCAGAGAAGGGAATGGGAGGTTTGGGTCAAGAGCTGCCTCCAGGTAGAGCTCAAGAGGTGAGCCCTGCGATGGAGCCTCCAGGAGTTCCAGCTCTGCAGCTGGCGACCACAAGGATCCAGGAGCTGGCGCTGGCTCTAGAGCCTGAGCTGGGGAAGGAGCGGCAGGTGGAGCTGGCACCAGCTCTACAGCTGGGACTTCAGTGAGGGCTGGAGCTGATGCTGAAGTTGCAAGAGGAGAAAAGATCACCAACGGTCCATGTTCCTCCCCAGGCCAAAACCTTCCCACCTCCCGTCAGACACAGCCGTGTGCCCCGACACAGCCCCAGCAAGTTCTCCCAGACGGCGTCCCCCACTGACTGCTGAGTGTCTCCTGGGTCACCCGGCATCTGGAAGCTCTGTGGTGCTCCAAGGCCATCCCCTCCCCATGGGTCCACCCCCCAGTCCTCCTTACCCGGGGGCTCTGCCTCAGGGGGCTCAGGGGGCTCCAGGAGAAGCTCAGCCTGGGAATCCACCTGGGAGTGCAGCTCCAGTGCAGAGTCACGGACAGGAGAGGTGGACCTGGGGCAGGCAGGGAGGCAGCAGGGTGAGAGGCCTGGCCGTCCTCCCACACTACTTGCCCAGGGAGGGCCGAGTGGGCCTCCTGCCCAGTCAGTGCAGTGTCCAGCCCCACTCTCTCCCACCCGCGGTGGGGCAGTGCAGTCCCAGGCAGCCTTGAGAGACTGACAGAAGGCTCCTTGGGAGCGAGTCCTTGCTTTGTGGCGCGACACCTCTGCCTTCCTCAGGGAAGCCTGACACAGTGTCTCCTGCCCCTGCCCACTGGCAGGTCAGCTCGGGGAACACAGATTGCTTCTGCTGTGTCCTTGAACTCAAGGGCCCTGACCTGTTGTTCCAGAAATACCTGAGAAGTGAGGGGCCAGTGGGAGTCTGTTCAGCCTCTCTTCAGTTTCTAACTCAGGCAGGGAGGTGCTGCCCAGATCTCTTTGCCTCTACAGAGCTCTACCTGCATTGTCTCTACCTCGATCCCGGAGAAACCACCTTGATGGGAGCAGTGTCTGCTCTGTAGCCCAGGGTCACTTTCTGGCCTCGAAATGACAATGAAATCCCAAAGGGCAGTGGCTGGATCTGCTCTGATTGTAGGATCACGGTCAATCCCTAGAAAACCGTGTGCACACAGTGTGTCTTCAGCTGTATTTGGGGGTTGATGGGACCCACCTGGCCTTCCATGACATCTAGGGGCCTGGGCCCTTTGCTGTCGCCAGGAATTCCTGCTCTGAGTACACCCTGAAGGCCATAAAGGGCCTCTTGAATCCCTTTCCAGTGAACAGCAGAAAGCTTCCCCCATGTGTGGGTCAGTGAGAGGTTGGAAGATCAGCCGAGTCAATAAGCACAGCCTCTGCAGCGGGTCTGCCATGGGGCCAAGGCCACAGCTAACCCCTTGCCGCAGAGCCCCGGTTCCATCCTCAGTGAGCCTGTGATCCTCATCCACACAGCACCTGATTGCTTAGAGTTGTAAACTGAGGCCAACAGAGGAGCTTGTGCCTTGTCAAGACTCGGAGCCAGAGGTGGCTGAGTGCCGCTGACAGGGCTGCTGAGAACAAAACTCACCTTCCCAC